AATGCCACACTTTTAAAATCTTTACAAAAATACCACTTTTTAAAAATTATTTTTTCTTTATATTATTTATGTTTGTGTTAATTATGTTCTATTAGGGTTTAGTTTTGAGTGTTTAGAGGGTTTTAGGTGTCAAAACATTTTTTTGGGTTTAGAATTTTAAGATATATGCTTTATAAATCTATAATTAGTGGCATTTTTGTAAATAGACACCCCTAAGTGGCATTCTTGCAAATGTGCACATAAAAAGTAGTATTTTTGTAACTGTCCCAAAATTAAATTGTAATATAAAGATGAACAATTTCAGTTTTTTCCTTTCTTTGATATCCACCAAAAATTATAATTCTAAATTAAATTTGTTATTGTAAATTTTTAACGGTTTGAAAAATATATATTTTATTTATTAAACCCATTAATATACTATACAATATACGTTTAAAACTTTAGATATACGGTTTGAAAAATATACGTTTAAAACTTTAGATAGGTAACTACAATTTTAAAACAAAAAGTCAGAAAAATAAAGTCACAAAAATTTTTAATAAAAAGAATCGTAACATTAACAAAAAAAAAGTGGTGTGAAAAAATTAATTAGTGATTTTAGGAATTTTAAGGTTGTTAGAATGCTAAAGTTGTCAATCATTTCMTAACCAATACTCWCGAAACGAAATCTTACTCCTCCACAAATTGTGAATGCAGAAAAACATAATAATTCACAAATGAATCGATGTGAAAAATAAAAATCGCAGAAAACGATAAAAAGAGTGAAAAAAAAACAAGTCTGTTCAATAATTTTTTTGTTACAAACGTATTTGATGCAAAATAAAAGACGACCAATCATGTAATAATTTTTTTATTATAAACGTATTTGGTGCAAAACAACGCGAGTTTGGTTAGTATTTAATTGGTCATATATATAACTCTCATTAATTAGAAACTAAAAAAACTTCTCGGTACACTAAATAATTTAATTCGAAAATGTATTATTCTAATCGRTAAATAAAGTGTGATCGTAATCAGTAAAAAAAATTGCATAGACAAATTGAAAAAAYAAAATAAATTCGAAACGAACATACACAAACAAATAAGTGATCAATAAAATATATCCTCATTTGCCCTCATGTTTGATATTTTATGATATGATATTGAATAGCCATGAATGCAAAACTAAAACTATATAATTACGAAGTGTGCAATACTCATCAATATTAGTAGAAAAAATAATGAAAAATTTACCTAGAATAACCTACTTTTTAAAACAAATAGCCAGAATAACCTTACTATTTTTTTTTATTGCTGAAATAACCTATTTTTGATTTTTTTCTTTCATAATACCAAAATTGTCATTGGCAGACTCTGCCAATGTTCGGCAGAGTCTGCCAATGTTTTGGCAGAGTTTGCGTATTTCTAGATATTGGCAGAGTCTGCCAATACATCGGTAGAGTCTACCAATGTTTCCGCAGAGTCTGCCAATGTTTTGGCAGAGTCTGCCAATGTTTCGGCAGAGTCTGCGAATGACAATTTTGGTATTATGAAAGAAAAAAATCAAAAATAGGTTATTTCAGCAATAAAAAAAAATAGTATATAATATTTTAAGGTTTTTCTAAATCCAAGTCATGAGAGGATGCCATGTGTCACCTATATTTTTGACATTTGTTTTTTTTATTTATTTATTGAAAAAAGTGTTTTTAATAATTTTAACAATTAATTCCTACAATTTAATAGCTAAATTTAATATAAGTTCATTCCAAAAATTAAAGAGAAATTTCAAAAAATGCCACTTTTCAAGTGCCACTTTACAAAAATGTCACACTTTTGGAATGTTTACAAAAATGCCACTTTTTCAAAAAAAAAAATTTTTAATTATTTATATTTGGGTTAATTATATTCTATTAGGGTTTAATTTTGAGTGTTTAGGGGGTTTAAGGTGTCAAAACATTTTTGTCGGTTTAGAATTTTAAGATATATGCTTTATAAATC